GTGTTCGGATGCCTCGAAGACCTCCTGCAGGCCCCTCTGGACGACACGCAGCGGCTGGTCGACGGGGTGTGTGCCCTCCCTTCAGCCAAGGAAACAGCGCTGGCCGCGTACGCTGCGAGCTGGGCGCTTGTCATGCAGGACGTGGCCCAGGGCGCTGGGTTCGCTACTTGGGAGGACTTTCGGGCCCGCTACCCCTTGAAGTTCCAATCGTTGCGGGAGGCGGAGGCGGCGCTGCGAACGCAGGGAGCGATGGGAAAAGACTCGTTCGAGTGGCTGGACACTTTCCAGGAACCGCAAGTGAAGCTGCAGGGGCAGTGGGGCAAAGCGAGGTCCTCGGATTGGAGGGAACGCTTGCTGGGAACGTTGGGAGAGGACGACCGACTCCAATTCCGCGGAACAAGTCCAGGCGCCGGGGGATTCCTGCTCCCTCGTGAGGAGGGTGACCAGTCCATGTCGGGTCAGCATTTCCTTGCGGCGTACAAGAAACGCTTGCGGGTGCCGGTCTGCCCGCCCGGAGCTCGCTGCCAGCAGAAACACGCCGACACAGGGCTGTTGTGCAACGAGCCCTTGGACGCGCGCGGGTGGCATGCCTGCAGCTGCCCTGTGGGGGGGTCCGCGCAGGCCGCCACGACAGCATGAGGGATTGGCACGCCCCCACGCACACACGCCTCACGGGCTACTACGCGGTCAAGGAGCAGCGAGTTCCTGGTTGGGACAGGATGGACCCGCAGACGGGCGTCATGGAGGAGGCGAAGCTGGACGTTTGTGCACGAGACCCCAGCACAGGTCAGCCTGTGCACGTGAATTGGAGCGTAACCTGCGAATGCAACACCTACGGCCCTCGCAGGCGCGCTCGATCCAACAAAGACGGGGTCGCGACGGCGCAGACGGTCCACGAGAAGCGCGAGCGCTACCCTCCGAGGCACGGGAACTTGGCGCCCTTAGTGTTCGAATCGGGGAGCCGCCCGTCCGACACGGGCGTCGAGTTCATCCGGTCGTACGGCCACGGGCTCGACGACGATGTTGCCCGGGCCGTGGTTCTCGGAATGCTGTGGAGACAAATTAGCAGACGCCTGCAGACCGGCAACGCCGAGATGCTGCTGAGTGCGTTCGGACGCTAGGCCTGCGGCTACCTGGACACCAACCCTGCTGCCCACGGTGCTGTTCGGACAGGCACCAGGACAATGACCACCGCTACCGCGGCCACCACCAACGGCCGCACCGACCACCACGGCTACCTTGGCGACGACAATCGCCACCAACTGCTGTAGCCACCACCACGGCTCTTGCGGTCACCGCCACGACCACCTTGGCCACCCCCAGCACGGCCAACTGCGCAACCACCGCAGCCCGGCCGCCTCCAACACGACTACCACCAGCCCGGCTATAGCCAGGGCCGCCACGACCACCTCTCCGACCACCAGCACGGACCGACCACCGGCACTCCGATCACCACAACGACCATCGGCACGACCACCACTACCGCCCCCGCCCCCAGCCCCTTTCCGCTCTCTTCCCTCTCCCTTGCCAGGCCGCACTTGCTGCAGGAATCGCCTCCCGCCCCTTCGCCTCCCCCTCCTTCTCCTCCCAAGTAGAAATTAATTGATAATTCATGCGGGGCCCCTCGCCAAATGCGGCGGTGTCACTGGCGCGAGGGTGCGATCGGATCGAACATTCCGGCCGCCCCAGGGGTCCCTTTCGCGGGTGCTGGTCCCTTCTGGGAGCCCCTCGGGCCGTGGCGGGAGGAGGGGGAGGAAGGGTAGGAGGAGGAGGGGGAGGGGGAGGAGGAGGAGGAGGAGGAGGGGGAGGATGAGGATGAGGAGGAGGAGGAAGCGGAGGGGTAGAAGGAGGAGGAGGAGGAGGAGGAGGAGGAGGAGGAGGAGGAGGAGGGAGGAGGAGGAGGAGGAGGAGGAGGGAGGAGAGGAGGAGGAGGAGGAGGAGGAGGAGGAGGAGGAGGAGGAGGAGGAGGAGGACGAGGAGGAGGAGAGGGAGGAGGAGGAGGAGGAGGAGGAGAGAAGGATGAGGAAGAGGAGGAGGAGGGGGGAGGCAGGAGGGCATCCGACGCTCATCGGGCAACCGCAACGATAACCCAACAGCGAATCCTGGCCGAGATGGGCAAGAACTGCTGCGGGTCATCGTCCCCATCCCTTCCGTCCCCATTTCGATCGCACTTAAAGGAGTGCACAGGGCTAGGAGGAGGAAGAAGAGCAGGAGGAGGAGGTGAAGGAGGAAAAGGAGGAGGAGGAGGACGAGGAGGAGGGGAGGGAGGAGGGAGGAGGAGGCGGAGCAGGAGGAGGAGGAGGAGGAGGAGCGAAGCATCCGACGTCTCGATTTTTTCAAGACGGGCCTCCCAATGTCCTCACGCTTTTCCCCGGGCAGGTTCCCCACCCAGGGTCAGTCAACATCGGGGGCGGGGAAGGACGTGGGCCTAGGCTGGCTATGGCAACAACACGGATCGAGGACGGTCGAGCGTTGCAGAGTGCAGACGGGGGCGGATTCTCGAGGAAGGCCGAACAAACGACGTCCAGGACAACAACAGACAATGGAGAATGGATGCGATGCTACAGTCGGGGTGGATTGAAGGTGGATTGAAGTGGACACGCGAGAGGACACACGACTCTTCCGAAGGCCACATTGCCAGTGGGAAGTAGAGGGCATGATCGCGAAACACAGGACGCGAAGGTACCCTTGTTTGGGCAGGGTCGACCTACTAATCAAACTCGACTGTAAAGCCCAACTCCTCCCACAACAAGGAGGATGAAGAAAAATAATCCTCGGGGGGAACGCGTCCTGAACCATGCGCTCTCCTCAAAGCCGACTTTCCGTCCCAAAGCCGCTTCTCGTCGGGAACGGCGAAGCACCTCAGGGCAACTTTTCCCCATGACCTACTTACTTTATAGCGGAGGGGGATTCGGCGCGCCTGGACTGGGGACGGAAACACATGGGCACGATGCCCAGGAGCAAATGTTGTCCAGGCGACTCGAAGTCTACATGGACAGCATCCGCGGCCATGCCAACATCGAATCCTGGTCAAACTAAAACAAACTGCTGTTGTTCCTCGTCGCCATTCCTTCCGTCACTGTTCCGACAGCGCCGAGAGGAGTGAAGATGGGTAGACGACCGCTGGCCAGGGGAAGGCCTAGACAAACTTTGTAATACATCTGTATGCATATATACAAAGAAGGCGGGCCTCCCGAACATTGATGGTCCCAACCCTTTCCCAGGGCCGGCTTCTCACCCAGGATCAGTGAGCATCGGGGGCGGAAAGGAAGCGGGACCGAGGTAGGTCGAGAGGTGCAATGCAGACGGGACGAGCCTCGAATAGAGCCGAAGCTGCAATGCAAACGCGACGCAAGCAGACGCAAACCACGTCCAAGACAGTCGGATCGGAACTCGCGCCGGATCGGGCTGCGTTGTCTCGGGGTCGAGGCGAGCTGTATATACCCGCCGCGCCACGATACGCAACAGCGGCCATGCAAACATTTGGCCGCATCGTCACTCAACAATATCATAATCGGTCTAATCGGATCGTCCCGGCCGAATTCGATATCGATCCACAGGGCCAACTTTTTATCCCGAGTCATTCTATTGACGGCCCCACTAGGGTTCGGGGAGCCCCCCCCACCGGACGCGGAAAGCGAAGAAAACCTCCGCCTTGGCGTTTCCAAGACGTTGGATGTTTGTTGCAGCGGATGAGGGGGGGGTCGGGTGGGACGAAGGGGGAGGGGTAGTAAAAGGGGTTACCGCCTGATGGTTTACCTCCCATTTAGCTGAAATTTTCCGTTGCCTCCTGTCGCTGGAGGCGACCCTGTATCGATGAGCGCGGCCAGCTAGTGGGCCGAAGCCACCTGCGTGCTGCAGATTTCGCGCCCCAACCCCACTTTCGCCACCCCCCCCCATCTCGACCCACCTGATAGGGGGAGTGGAATGCGACCGCTGATCGAGGAGCCCCCCGCGGCGGCCCCGGGCGCCCGCATCCGCCGCCGCCGTCGTCGCCCAGGTCATCGTCATCGTCGCTGCCGCCGTCGCTGCCGCCGCCGTCGCTGCCGCCGCCGCCGCCGCCGCCGTCGTCGTCGTCGTCGTCGTCGTCGTCGTCGTCGTCGTCGTCGTCGTCGTCGTCGTCATCGTCATCGTCATGGTCGTCGCCGTCGCAGTCGTCGACCGAGGATCTCGATGACCACCGATGGCCTCGCCTGTGTTTGCAGCGGCCTCGTCGAAAGCCACCTGCGACCCCGCCAATGGTCATCGGCCTGGCCACCAGCAATCGATGACGACATCGTCTCGTCCGTCGGGAGCCGGCGCTGGGACGCTGGGCCCCGGGCGAGGAGGCCTCGAACTGCGCAGCCTGCACCCAGAAGCCCCGTCCTGCCCCCAGAGCCCCGTCCCTCAGGGCCCCATCCTCGAACCCCATGCGTGCCAGGGCCTCATGGCCCCACCCTGCTCCTCCTCTTCCTCCTCCACCTCCTCCACCTCCTCCTCCTCCTCCTTCCCCTCCTCCCCCTCCTCCTACTCCTCCTCCTCCTCCTCCTTCCCCTCCTCCCCCTCCTCCCCCTCCTCCTCCTCCTCCTCCCCCTCCGCCTCCTGGAGGCCTCCGTCCTGTTCTCGGAGCCCCATCTCCTCAGGGGCCGCAGCCTTCTCGACACCCCCCCCCACGAGACCACGTCGATGTGGCCACGCAATCGTCTCGCCGATATCCAGGGCCGACCCGGCAGGGCCCTCAGGAGTCCTCGGGGCCACATCCCGTAGGGCTGCATATCCTGGTATCCGATGGCCACATCCGTCTCGCCGATCGCGGGCCGACCTGGAAGAGCCCTCCTGTCCTTGGAGGCACATCCCGTAGGGCTGCATATCCTCGACCCCCCCCCTCGGGGCCACGTCGATGGCCACATATCCGTCTCGCCGATATCGCGGGCCGACCTGGAAGAGCCCTCCTGTCCTCGGGACCACATCCCGCAGGGCTGCATATCCTCGACCCCCCCCCCCCTCGGGGCCACGTCGATGGCCACATATCCGTCTCGCCGATCGCGGGCCGACCCAGCAGAGCCCTCCTGTCCTCGGAGCCACATCCCGTAGGGCTGCACATCCTCGACCCATTCCCCCCCACGAGGCCACGTCGATGGCCAAGTCCGCCTCGAGAGATGGCGGGCGGGGGCCCGCCTTCGCGGCCGTGGGGCGGTCCCCGGCGGCGGGGCGGAGCAGTCGCTGCGTGAAGTCGCGGCTGAGCGGGGTGCGGTCGTTCCAGCCGTCCTGGGCACCGCGCGCCGCCGATGAGCGGCACGCCTCGTGAGTCGCGGATGTCTCGAGGATGCCATTTCTTCGAGGCTGTCGCGAGCGACAGCATGATCCGCAACTGCTGCCAAACCATCAGCGCAGGACTGCGAACACATGGCCGCATGGTTTGCCGCAGGCGTGCCGAAGAGCGGCACGCTTCATAAATCACTGGTGCAAACTTCAAACTCAGCTCTGAGACAAACGCCGGCCTTGCAAACTAGGCGCTACCCACAGCAGGGAGCCGAAGCGTCCCCCAAACCGGCATCCATGCCCGTCCTGGGCACGGGCGCGGCTTCGCGGCAAAGGCATTCCAAGGCTTCCGTAGCACTCGAACAAACTATGTATTCGAGGATGTCTCACGCGGCAGCCTCACGCCACGTCTTGTCTGAAGAGGCGACGCAGTCGCAAGCTCCAAATCAATGCATGGGTTCTCCAGATTTCGTAATAAAAGGGAGGGGGTCTGGACCCTCCAACACAAGCCATTTCAGACCCCCCCTCGTGGAAGAACCCTCCAAAACATCGTCCCCAGACCACCCCAGGCCCTCCAAGATAGCCTGGAAGAGACCCCCCCCGAAATGAGACCCCCCTCCCTTTATTACGAAATCTGGAGTAGGGAAGGAAGCCCGTCCGCGGGACAAGAGACGCCCGCAGACTCTCGAGGGGAGGAGAATGAGGGTTCAAGCATCAAGGACCACAGGGCAATGCGGTCGACGCCGCCGCGCCCCCTGGGATGATGAGGAGGGAGAGAGGGATGAGAAGGAGGAGGAGGAGGAGGATGTGGAGGGGGAAGGATTGCACAAAAACGAAGGATTGCAAAAAAGATTGCAAAAAAAACAGGATTGCAAAAAAAACCTGGATTGCAAAAAAAACCTGGGTTTGCAAAACACCCTTCGTTTTTTGCAATCCTGGATTTTTTTGCAATCCTTCGTTCGAGGAGGAGGAGGACGAAGACGGGGGAGAAGGAGGGGAGAGAAGGATGTAGGTGGAGGAGGCGGAGAAGAGGAGGAGGATTGGTGAAGAAGAACATGAAAAGGAATACTATAATCGAGGTTGTTGGGCGCCCGTGGCTCCATTTTGGCCTCTGGCAGCCTCCAGAGGCATCCTAAGCCTCCTTTGGCGGGACCTCTAGATGCATCCAGACATTTTCCTGGCATCCAGACATTCTCCATACATAAAGTCTTCCCCCACTTGTTCCCCCTCTCTGGTGAGGCAGCGGGCGCTGAAACAGCATCGACGTCCTCTTAAGGATGGTCGATGCGAGAACTGTCCTTTCCCGTCGTTCCCCAATGCCTGTATCTCTTGACACGCGCACGTTCCAAGCTGCACGGAAACGAACCGAGGAGGAGGAAGATCGGGGTGGACGAAAATTATCAGCGCGCACAGACACAGGGGCTGAGAGAGGGAGTCGGCCTGATGAGAAGGCGGGGGGCTCCTTGGAAAGCAAGGGCCTTCTTAGAAACAACATGGCGATCATGGGGGAAGCGGGTCCCATGGGAAACTGGTCCTGGGCCCGGGGGCCTTCCCCCAGGACGAGTTCTTCATCCTGAGTCGATTTCAAGCAGTCCCAGGGCCCAGACCTGAAAACGGCAAAACACCTCTGGTCCCGTTTCCCTCAGGACCTGCTTCCCCCATGGCAATTCTGAGAAAGCATGGGGGCTCCCAAGAGGCCCTCCCCTGCGGACCTAAGGGTTTCCAGGAAGCCCCTGACCTCTAAGAAGGCCTCCAGGCTTCTTGGGAAAGCCGCCAGTCTCGAACTCCCCCTCCCTTTGTGCGCGGCGCCGTGAAGGGGGGGGTAGAAGAAGCAGGGTTAGCGAATCAACTGCTCCTCCTCCTCCTCCTTTTTGATCCTCCTCCTCCTCCTCCTCTCATCGATGGCAAATCCTCCTCCTTTGGCAACCAGCGATGTGTGCAGCTGGTCTGCCCGGCGCCTCGAGGCCCCGGGACCGCCCGTACATCAAGAAAAGCGCCGGGCAGCGGGGCCGGAGCGCATCGGCTATGCATGCCTCTCTCCCCTCCCCCCTCCCCCCTCTGGTCTTCCCTTTCGGGCCCCGCGAGGGAAAGATGGTGAGGAGGAGGAGGAGGAGGAGGAGGAGGAGGAGGAGGAGGAGGAGGACCAGGGTGAATGAAACATGCACGAGCGATGCTGTATGGTCGTGTGTATAAGCTATGTAGTGTGTGAAAGTGTGATATGTGTGGTGTGAGCTGTGAGGTGCAAGCTAGGCGGCGCAACAGCTGTGGTCAATCTACGTGGTGTGAACTGCGCGGTGAAGCCGTGTGGTGCACCCTGTGTGGTGTATGAGCCGTGTGGTGTAAGCTAAGCGGTGCAGCGGGGCGGCCACGGGCGGCGACGCGGCGAATCTCGGCGGACCCCCCAAATCAAGGGGGCGGCCACGAGGCGACCACGGGCGGCCACGCGGGGAAATCTCGGAGGGCCCAAGCAATCCCGTAGCGAGAGAAGCAAGAGCCCCTGAAGCGCAAGCACTGCTTGTGGAACTGGATGCCTTGAGGGAAGATCTTTTGAAGCCGGCGGCGCAGAGGATCCGCAGGCGCGGAGACGACAGATGGAAATGCCAATCGCGATCATCTTGAGGGGGATACCCGCGAGCACACCGCGAGGCGGGCCGTTGGCCCTGGCGAGCCTGGGGCTTCCCCCGCGCCAGGCCTCGCGGCCAGCGCAGTCAGGCGCGGGCCTCTCGCGTCGTCACCCGCCCCTTCGGCGGCAGGCTCGGCGCCGCCAATGAGGAAGAGGAGAAGGGTACTCCGGATTCCATAATAAAGTAGGGGGGGTTACATTTGGCGGGGGGGTCTGATTTGAGCTGTCTTGAAGGGTTAGGGGGGGTCTGGGCAAAGAGCCGCCCTTTCATGGATGGTCTGGGGGGGTCTAAAACTTGTGGTCTGGGAGGATTGTGAACCCCTCCCTTTTATTACGAAATCTGGAGTAAGCCAAGGGACCAGAATCGATATTTAGATCAACTCTGCCTCCAAGTTCCCTCTTCACAGGTCGCTGCAAGAATGTGCTTTCATCGCGGGAAGTGCCCGCCCCACAGCAATACATGCGTCTGCGAATCCTCAATCGTGCCAAAACGCCGTTCCTGGGACTTCAGCGCTGCGAATCAGCGTGACCGTTGCGTCATAGCAATCCTAAGCCGCGCCAGACCACCATTCCTGAGAATCCAGCGCAGTTAATCATCATGACTGTGGCGACCTGACAATCCTAACTCGCGTCAGGAAACCATTCCTGGGACCTCGACCCTACGAACCATGGAAACAGTTAAAACTTCAGGCGGATGTGCGCGGTGCGCAGGCGAGAATTACATGCGAAGAAAGGATCGCCCTCCGTCTTTGAAACAGCTGCGAATTTAAACGAGTGTGCGCCACGCTCAGGCGAGAGCCACATATTCAACAACAACCACCAGCCCTCCATCCTGGAAGCTGTTGCAAACTTCAAGACGACTGTGCACGGTGTCGAGGCGAGAGCCACATCGTGACAATCGCCCCCCCTCCATGCTTGAAGCAACTTGTGCAACGAATGTGCCATGCGGGCGGCGCTGAGGCGGGAGCCGCAGTTTGAAAGCCACCCGCCCTCCACCTGTGATGCTGTTGCAAGTTCAGGCTTCAGGATCGCACATGGTGAGGAACTCTAAGGCGAACCCCCTGCACCTCCTTGCCGACAAGTTATTGGGGATACGACCAGGAGTTCTTTTATAAGGAAATGGGATTGCGGGGGAGGAGGCGGAGGGGGAGGCGCTGGAGGAGGAGGAGGAGGAGGAGGAGGAGGAGGAGAGAGAGAGAAAGAGAGAGGAAGAGGAGGAGGAAGAGGAGGAAGAGGAGGAGGAGGAGGACGAAGATAAAGAAGAGGAACCCTCAACACTACCAGCCGTGCCAGTCCGTGCCCCGACCCGCGACGTGTGCGCACGCCAAGCAGGACCAGCAAAGCAGGCGAAAAACGACCAGCAGCCCTACGCTGTAAGATCGGCTGTGCTCGTCTCCTGGAGAGCGCGCAGAGTCTCTCTGGGCGCGCGGAGACTCAGCGGCGTGCGCCGCTGCGGAGGCTTACGAGGAGACAAAGCAGGATGAGGGGGAGGAGGAAGAAGAGGTCTCCAGAAGTCTGGAGATTCCCGGAGGTCCTCGGAAGGCACTGGGAACTACCAGGAGCATCGCTTCATTTTCTCCTGCCCCTACTTCTCGACCCTCTCTCTTCATCGGGGAAAGGAGGCAGGGGAAGCGGTAGAAGTTGGACGAAGAGGAAGAGCAACGCGTGGCTTGTGGAGGAGGAATAGGAAGAGGATCGAGTGGCCCCACGGGGGCAGCTTCTGTACCCCCAGCCCCCGCGCGGGCCGTCCGCGGGACAAGCAGAGGCCCGGGGCCAGTGCTCCCTTGGGTGATCTGCTGCTGCACTTGCCTGAAAAGCGCCGGCGCGGCGGCAAAAACGCGGTTCAGAATCTGGATCGGCGCCTTCTCAAACACTTGGCTGAGCGAATTGACAAGGCACGCCTGTGAAAGCCCATCCGTATCCGCTCCGGCCGCCTTCGTTGTAGACGGCGGCGGCAAGCTGCTGGAGGCGGGACACAGGAGAGGGAGGAGCCGGGGCAGAAGCTGCGGCGGCTCCCGGCCAGGAGCAAAGGCCAGCCAGGAGCCGCCGTGGCTCTTGGCCGGACTCCTTCCCCATCCGGACAGGAGCAAAGAGGACGGTGCTGCTTTCGACGACACCAAAATCGCTGGTCTCCGTGCCAGTCTCTGCTGAATTCGAGCAGGAAGGATGGGAGGAAGACCAGGGTGAGGAGCTACGCCCAAGCCCAAACCTCCTCTGTCGTCTTTTTGTTCGCAGCAGCGTGGACCCCCACAGCTCTGGACTTTTCAACAGGGGCCGCTCCTCCTTCCTAGCCGTTTCGAAGGCCCCCGGAAGCCGAAAGTGGGCAGAAACCTTCCGTCATGCTGTTTTTCCACGACCGCAAGAGGTCTGGCGATGAGGAGGAGCAACAGTGGTAGCAAGATGGGAACGAACAGAAGCCTGCATGCACCGGGCCAGCACTTTGTAGCTGGCGCTAGGGCGCATCAAAGCGGCGGCCGCGGCGGGCTCCCGCTCTGCCAGCTCAAACGGGCAAGCTTGTGACTGCCCCGTGCCACCACTGCCCAAGCCGACGATCCTAGAACGCCTGGTAGCGCCAACGTGTCCTCGTCGACCAAAGCCGATCAATGCGACGCGGGCAGTGCAAGGACGGCCGCCAGTGATACCCGTGGAGCTGAACGGGGTAAAGACACAGTTCGGCGGCAAGCGAGGGGGGAAGTGAGAAGGAGAAGGCGTTCTCAGAAGGCTGCGGGACTTCCCAGAAGCCCTCGCGCCTTCTGAGAAACCAAGCCCGTGCCTCCGGGGCAGGCTCAGACACTCCTCGCAAGGCCGGAGGTCTGCCGAGACTTCTGAGAGGGCCTCCCCCTTCCTCCCCTCGCTCGCCGCCGCACAGTGGGCTGACACGCCCCCGAGGATCGCCGAGCGGGGGGCGCATGGCGAGCCAACAGCGCCAGGGCCAGCACGCCGATCCAGCTCGAGCGGCTGCGTGCGGGCGACCCCGCCGCGCCGACCGCGGCCCGCGGCGCGAGGGCCCGCGGTCCGAGCGCGTGTGGCATCGGGAGCGCGCGGGGTCCCGGCGGACGCGTGCGGCTGCTCGTGGACGACCTGCGGCTGGCGCTGCCCCCTCCCTCCCCTCCCGGGGCACACGCTAGTGTATACGGACTCGGGGCCTGCGGATCGGGCGCGCGGGCGCCGGATCCACGGACCGTGGAGAGCGCGCCCCTCTGAGCACGAGGCCAGGGCCGTGTGACTCGGTGCCGAGGCGCGTCGGTGCGGCACGGGAGCGGGGCCCGTCGCTGAGCCTCGCGCCTCGATCCCTGTTCGCGCTTCCTCGATCCCTGCTCCTGCTCGCTCCTGCTTGCTGGGTTCCTCGCTCCCCCCTTCCCTCGTCCTCCTCGGCTCGGGGCGGCCTGCGACTCGAGTTGCGGGGCCAGCGCGGGTGGAGAAGTTGCTGCCCCTGCGGTGGCACGTCTGCTTCTTCGGGGGCGCTGCTCGCACCTCCTGGGCCTCTGGGGAACTCCTCGTCGCTGCGGCTAGATCCGCCTCGAAATTCTGGCCTGACCGCGCCTTGTGGCAGCTTGATTGTCCCCCAACCATCCTGTTGTTGGGCCCTCGCTTTGGATAGACAACGCCGCGCCCCCCCCTCCCACCCGCTGCCCCCTCCTCCTGCTCCTCCTCCTCCTCCTTCTTTTCCTCCCCGCCTTTTTGCCTCTGCCCTCCGCATGTCTCTGCTTCAGCACACCCCTCACACGCTTCGTGGCTTCGTAGGGAGCTCCAGCTAAGCCCAAATGCCACGGTCCGCGTGGCCCCGCCGCCTCATTTCGGCACGCCCCTCGCACGCTGTGGCCCCATGGGGAGCTCCAACTGAAGCGCACATGCCAAGGTCCGCAGGGCCCCGCCGCCTGATTCCGGCACACCCCTCACACGCTTCGTGGCTCCATATAAAGGGGGCTTCTGCTCCGGCCGACATGCCAGGGCCCGCATGGCGGCGCCGCCTCATGTCGGCACGCCCCTCGCACGCTACGTGGCCCCATGGGGAGCTCCAGCCCCAGACCCCCCGGCGTCATATTTTTTCTGATCGTCGACCCTCAGATGTCTCGACCCATTCCCCTGGACCAACTTTTCATCCTGAGTCGTTTTTCTGACGACCCGAAGGCCCGGCAAGGGCCTCCGGAGATCGAACGTAGTGACCAAATCTTCCGCCATGATTTCTTTCGTTGCCCGAAAGGGGGTCTGCCACGGAAGCTCTTGCGCCGCAGCGCGGCAGAGGCAGCCCGCGTGCGCGTCCAAGCAACCAGGGGCACGGTAGTATTACCCCGGGGTCTGTTAGATCTTATTTTAAGAACGTGTTAGTTATATAATAACATATGATCTTATAATAAGAGCGCACACACATGAAACACATGCTTTTTTCATTCAATCGCATGCCATACACTCGCATCGCATCTTGAAAGCGCTGCGTAGAACTTTCGGATACGCAAGCTCTTCCAAGAAAACACTTGGCATGGACGAGCACATCTGCATGTACAAACAAGATAAACCTTCAAGACGCATTTGTAACTTGAGGATGTCACAAGGTAAATAGCACGTGCACAACCTGTTGTGAGCACCACGCTGCTGAAACACCCGTGAACTATGGATATCAGCCACCGTCATCCTCCTTTTCCTCCTCCTCCTCCTTATCCTTCTCCTCCTCCTCCGTTTGTCCCTCCTCTTCCTCATCCTCCTCGCCCTCCTCATTATCATTTTCCTCCTCTTCCTCCTCCTCACCATCATCCTCCTCATGATCCTCCTCGTCGTTCTCCTCGTGATCCCTCGAAGTGTCATGTGGATCATGGCCCTCGGGAATCTTCGCGGCGGTCCCCGAGGACATGTTACGTGCGTCGCGTGCTTTGTTGATTCTTCTCCTCAGGGAGCGGGAGAAGGATATCCTTCTCCCGATCCTTGCCCTTCTCTTCTGCACGCCCCTTCTCGCGGCGCCATTTACGACGAGGACGAGGCAGGGCGCTGATCCAGCGCGAGGGCGGCCACCTGCGAGCAGAAGGCGTCTGGATACTTCTCCGACGCCTTCTGCTCGCCCTTTCTACCTGTCGCCCACTCAGAGCGCCAGCCACCCGCTCTCGGAGTGGATGCGCGCCTCGCCTCCACCTGAAGGCGGAGCGATGAGCTCTCTCTCTCTCTCTCTCTCTCTGTCTCTCTGTCTGTCTGTCTGTCTGTCTGTCTGTCTGTCTGTCTCTCTCTCTCTTGTTCTCTCTCTCTCTCTCTCTCTCTC